AAGGGGTGAGGATTGCTGCATTTATGGAGTTAAGGCCTGTATGTGGGAAAGTATTGCGGTTCTCTGCAGGAACAGTAATAGGAGCATCAGAGATAGATGATGATGACATATGGAGGATATGTATCAATAAGTGAGAGCAACTAGAAGTCTGCAGCAATGACAATGATCAGGGAGGAAGAGATATTGGTGGCAAATGGGTTGTGGGTTATGGTGGCAAATAGGTTGTGGGTTGTTGATCAATATTGACAATGATCAATATTGTGTAAAGTTACGGATCTCTATGCAGCAGTGCTGCAGCCTTTGTGCAGCAGTTCTGTAGTTGGGAACTTGGAAATGGTTTCAAATGCTGCTTGTCGAGGTGAAGAAGGTAGAGCAGGGGACAACAACTTGGGAGAAGAGTAGATCACTACTGCTGCAGTTGCTGTGGCTGCGGCGACAAAGAGGGTTGCTGCGGCTACAGCAGAGAGGGCATCAATTCTGCTTCTACAGGAAGAGGCAGAGGAAGGGCGACGGTAAAAAATGCTGCCGGCGTAGGGAGGAAAAGAAGGCACGGCATAGTGGCCCTTGTTCGGCTTCGAAGGAGGCCGATGCAATGATCCTAAATGATGCCCGTGGAAAATGCTGCAATGATAAGAGCTCTCGCCGTGAAGGCCACTTCTAAACATCTCGAAGTAGACCCATCTTCTTACTGGACTCCACCGAATCTTGGCTCCTCCTACTGCCTCGTGGACTGTGACTCCATCTCAGTCGCTCCCCCCTCTATCGCTGCTTTCGCCGTGACCGCACCGCACCCGGCGTCGCCATCAGATGTGGCAATTTTCCTTGGTGAAAGGCGATAGCAACAGCGACATCTTCCTTCATCGAGCTCTGATACCATGATAGAAATAAAATAGAAAGAAGAAGATTGCATTGATTGAAACAATACACAATACTCCATATTTATACATGTTTGGAAGGAAGAATTTTCCTCAAGATATCTTTGATTGTTATTATATATATATATATATATATATATATATATATATATATATATATATATATATATATATATATATATATATATATATATATATAATAATATAATA